GAAAAGGAAGCACCACCACCCCAAACTCAAGATCCAAGCGGTGAACAACTCCACCTTTTCCTAGCCGATTTGCAAAATCCAAGAAGGAGGAGCAAGAGAAGGATATTCTTGAGACATTTCGCAAGGTTGAGGTAAATATTCCCCTCCTTGATGCAATCAAGCATGTACCTCGCTATGCTGAATTCCTCAAGGAGTTATGCACTACTAAGAAAAAGCTGAAGGGTAATGAGAAAGTCCATATAGGGGAGAATGTTTCAGCAATCCTCCAAAAGAAATTACCTCCTAAATGCAAGGATCCAGGTATGTTTTCTATCCCTTGTAAGATAGGAAACGTTAAGATCAAAAGAGCAATGTTAGATCTAGGAGCTTCGATAAATGTCATGCCCCGTTCTATTTACACTACTTTGAACCTTGGGCCATTGAAAGAATCGAGTGTGACTCTACAACTTGCTGATCGATCCACTACATATCCAAAGGGGGTTTTGGAGGACGTGTTAGTTCAAGTCAATGATTTGGTCTTTCCTACTGATTTTTATGTGATTGATATGGAAGAAGATAATTTTTCCAATTCAACTCCAATTTTGTTGGGAAGACCATCTCTTAAGACATCTAAGACCAAAATCGATGTGCATAAGGGGACACTTATCATGGAATTAATTCTTTAGCACAAGAAGTTTTTGAACTTGGTGAGAAGGAGGGATTCGGAATTTCTATTACTAAGCATCCTGAGAAAGAGGAATCAACATTGAGTTCTAAATTGCAGGCCCCTATTTCAGATTTGAACCCACCCATGGTGGATGAAAGGGGAGAACACCAGAAGTTGCAAATACAAAAGTTATAGGATTTGGTTTATGATGATTAAAAATAGGGAAGTTTGTTTTTCTTTTTTTTTCTTCTTGTTTTTGCATTTATAGTTTAGTTATTTCCACATTTTCCTTGCATTTCACCTTACATTGGGGACAATGTAAGTTTGAAGTGGGGGGGGGGGGGGTTTATTGGTTTTTATTTTTGTTTTTTTTTTCAGTTAAAAAAAAAAAAAAAAAAAACTCAACTCTTTTGGAATCAATTGAAATAGTGTTCTGGGAAGATTCTTGTGAACTGAGTAAAGAAATATGATCAGGGAGTACACCATTCATCTGAAGCCATCCCTTTTAAGCTAGTCCTAAATTAAGGTTTAAGTAAATGGGGTAAATATTTTACCATTACTACAAATTGGTAGGATGGAGCATAAAATACACCTACCAGCCAAGAAAATCAATAGTAGGATGGAGCATAAAATGCACCTACTAGCTAGCAATTCAAATAGTAGGATGGAGCATAAAATGGACCTACTGACCAAGTAATCTTAAAGTGAGATGGAACATAAAATGCACTCACTTCCACCAAAAAAAAAAAAAAATAAAGAGAGAGAGGAAGTAAAAATGTTTTCCCTAGTTTATTACCTGATTTGCAGTAGTAAAGAAGGGATTGGCTGATAGATGAGTTGAGTATAACTTGATTGTATTGACTTAACAGTTCACAATAACCGACCTAGGATCTTTGTGAAAAAAGATGAAGGAAGATTGAGTTTAAAGTCTAGTAGAATAGTTTGCTTATTTTGCTTGAATTTTGTCTTGCCCGAGGACGGATAAGGTCTAAGTGTGGGGGGATTTGATGAGAATGAAAATTATCATATCTTTGTCCCTTAATATTCAGTCTTTTATACTTATTTAGTAACTAATTGGACTCACTATTCTTATATTTTGATTTAGGGCACGAAAGAAGGCGTTAAGTGAAAAACAAGGCTAATTGGGTAATTTTGCACGGTTTCGGCGCTGCGTGGTAACTTGGGCATAACTCTCCCATCCGGACTTCGATTGAATTCAAGATGCATTGGAAAGATAAGGAAAAACTCTACAACTTTCATGTTTTGAGTTTTGATAGATTCGGACTGTATCGAGGTCAAAATCGGGTCCAAAGTCTCTACGAATTCGTAGAGAAGCCCAATTTGCAGAGAGCCCCAGATTGCAGCAAAGCCCAATTCGTAGAGAAGCCCCAGTTCGTTGGAGAAGACCAGCCCAATTCAACATGCAATAGTAGGGCCCACTCATCATTCCTAATAGAATTCGGCTAAGAGTCTTAATCAGATCTGATTTTTATTGTAATCTTAAAGAAAGAAAAGGGTTAGAGTCCAATTTAGTTAAGAGTTTCTATTTAGAGATAAGGATAAGATTAGATTTGAATTAAGCCTTATCCCATTAGGAGATAAGACTTTCTATTTTTGAGAAGGAACTCCTAAGAGGTGTTGGAAACAACCCCTCCCCCTAAGTCTATATAAAGGGGGTTCGACTAGCACTCAAGGCACTCAATCTTGGAAACAAGAATTCAGCAAGAAGGGAGGAAGAAAGAAGAATACGCCCTCATCATCTGGAAGCTGCGATTTCTACATGAAGTGTGTGTAAGCTTTTGATTTTCTGGTTGAAGGTTAGGGAAGCTTGATTCTATAAACATTGTGAGATCTAATTGATTTTTATTTTAGTTCATTGTTTATGGATATTCATATGTTTTCTGCGATTTCCTGCAAGGATTATTTTTATTGATTAAGCAAGAAGGATCCCTTGCTCATTCAATAAGAATAATCTATGGCCGATCGAACCATCAATTTCGTATATGATTGGTAGGTTTAATCATGGTGGCAACTAACATAAATTGATTATGGACAAGTTTTCGATTTATGTTAGGAGGATATATGATCTGGTTTAAACGGTTCGAGCTTGTGAGATCGTTGACCAGAATTAGTTCTCTCCCCTCTTAATGCTATTAATAGATTAAATCCTAAGAGCTTGTTAGAGCTTGTTAATGGCTATAACCAATTTATTCATAAACATATGAATTTATCCTTGCATCGATGATCAATGATAAGAATCAAGATTGAACTTGTCCCTTTAACTAAAAGCAATCTCCCATCGATTTAATCCATGCTTTATTTTATTTTATTTTATTTTCCTTGCTTTTATAACAACCCCTCTATTTTCTTTTCTCTTGKAAATAAATCCACCCAATCCYTGTGRAGACRAYYTTGCTCATCACTATCTACAAAAATATTTAATTTGAGCAGGACATTTATCTTTGGTTGGATTCGACACCCACCAATAGTCTTACACATAACCTCTCAACCCATAATGATCAAACACTGCCCGACAAGAGAGGACCTCTCCCTCAGCTGCAAGGAACAGTGCTGCATTCTCTACTCACATGGATCTTAGGAATTAAAACCTTTTGCATACATTTTGAAACCATAATATTTATATGTATATCTCTATATAAATATATTTTGCAAAACAAATTTCAACGGTTAAAATCGGCTGCCGACAGCTTTGGTTTCCATCAGAGAGAGTGCATCCCTGATTATTCACTTTGTCCGACAAAGGGGCTGATCCTGTCACTATGATCACCCACTCAGATGAATTCTCGGATTGTCCCAATATACCCAGGTTTTGGCCCCCTCTAAGGATCTCACTGATTGGTATATCAAAGACAGCCCAATCCGACACCTAGTGCAGTATCATAATCGAGTCTAGGGGTCAGGTGTAACATTCCAGTTTTGCCCATCTATCTCCAAGGTCTAGGGCAATACTGGAATTCTGGTCCGGTTCAGGGTTTCAAGAAAACCCACACTGCATGTACCTCAGATCTCACCCTAGCAACTGAAACAAGCCACCCCAACTAATTTGGCGGCACATCAGTGTCAACATTGGCAGGATAAATCTCCCCAGATCTATCCAACGGCTGTGAAGATTCTAAACTAACACGAGTCTCTTATGTGTCCACAATAACATGAATCAAATATGTACTTTATTCATTTACATTAAATGTCATAAGGTAAATCATTCTGATTGGAGATAAGGGCATACACTGTCTAATAGAGCCATGGTTCCTCGAGTAGGAATCTCTTCGCCTCTCTATCTTTTTTGAAGCATATCCATAGTAGCTCTCCCTCCAACCATTTCACCTCATAACTGCCATTTGACCAGAAATGCCTAACTTTCTGGGTGATTCCATGTACATTTATTCTTCTATCCGCCACCACTTTGCCATACAAAGCTTTCCTGCATATGCTTTGGAGTGCTTTTAGTCGCTTCTCCATCCTACTCTCTTCCTGATCGCTAGTCTCCCTTCGCTCCATTGCATGCAAATCTTCATGCCACGCGATATGAGATCTTCCCTCTAAATAGTTCTACTAACACTCTCGAGCAAGCCAATGCTCTCTCAGAAACTCACCAATGCTCTCTCGAGCAAGCAACCGCTCTCTCATCTCCCGGGTTGTTTTTCCCATATATATCTTTTCCATATCATAGTCGAATATCCTTATATCTTTACCATTTACAACATTTACTTATATCCCGCAATGAAGGAAGCTGTTGATTTGTTTTGCCGCCCAAAAAAAATTTCCCTTTTTGACAGGTGGCAAATTATTTAGTATAAGTTTGAATGAGTATTGTTTGCTGCCCCCCAGAATCCAACTTTACGGGTGGCGACCGTCAAAATGGTATTAATCCAGGGGCCACTACCCTCGAGCTCTAGCCAATTACCGCAGTTTAGTCAAGGTGGCATAAATCCAGCGGTAGCGGTAGGACCCCCACCGCCGGACTGTTTGGCTTCAGACAGGTGTTGTTTCCGTTATCTACTCGCCCCCTCTACTCAACACGAAGCAAAATAAACAGGCCTCCTGTAGAGCTGTTATAAACTATTAACAAATTGTTAAATTCACGCGCTTATCCAAACTTCAAGCTTTTCTTTTGGTTAATTATTTATCGAACAAAAAAAGAGTTAACAAATTAAAAGCGTGAATTTAAAAAGCTTTAAGGAGGAAAATACCAGAAATAAATTTAAACGGTTGAGATGTTGCAGAGAAAACGCGGCAAATCGAACTGTTGTGTTCTGTGGTGTTACTGTTTTTCACCGGTTTTGATTTTAGTTTATTTTTGCTATATTGGTGATAGAGACTACATTGACTAATAAATTCTCTCAGAAGAGAAAAGCCAATGGAATGGATATTACAGTCTAGATACGGATTCAATTTTAGAAAAGTTGGTGTTTTTGATTCACAGAGAGAAGAACTTAAAAGGGTCCGTCCGTTAACCTGGCTTCTTCACATTGTATCTCGATTCTGGTCTCTATTGTTTCTTCCCGGAAGGGAAATTTTGTGGCTGAGAATAAGATCTCTGAAGTTCCAATAGAATGATTCTGATTCCGTTGTTGCTGATCATTTCGTAACCTCTGCTTTATAAGAAAGTTCTGTATCTGTCGGGATCATCTTTTAACCGACTTCAATCCCGGGAATCAATCCACCTTTAAGCAGAATATCTGCGTTACTTTTCGTATTGAAAGCCAAAATAAAGCGAAATAGTTAGCACATCAGCAAAGCTGATTCTGGACGACTCTGGACTGCGAAACTGAGGTTCGTAGGTTTCTGGGTTGATTTGCTTTCTTTTTCCCCTTTTATATTTTGGACCTATCCTACAATTCTTGTACCTAGAGCTGTCGAATTTGGCTCTGAAACTGTAATCCTTTTCTTTCTTCTAAAGAGTGGTCGTGATTTTCGGATTAAAGAATCCAAGCATTTTCTGCTTTTCCTTGTGGTCGGTGGATTTGTTCACGTTTAAGAACAGAGGCTCTAAACCCTCATTACCTTCTACGAAGGAAGAAATTTCTTGGGTCCTTAAAACAAGGAGAGAGCTGTTGAGTTTTCTTCAAGAGTGAAGAACATAGAAGCAAATTTACTTCTTGTTGCCGTTTCCTCTCTGTAAATCAAAATTGGACAAGAATCCACGACACCGTTTGGATTTTATTGAGTGTAAGAGTTGGAGTCTCCGATTTCAGGTTTTTTCGGTGTGCCAACGTTTTTGCTAAGTAACTCTATTTTAAAATTTTAATTTTATATATAGTTAGCTGTTGAAAGTAGAAACATCAGAGAACAGAACTCCCAAGGAACAACTTCCCCTCTTTTCAGCGCCCTAAAAGATAAAAATTCTCTCTCTCTCTCTCTCTCTCTCTCTCTCTCTCTCTCTCTCTCTCTTCCTCTGTTTCGCGGGGAGGAGACCCTCTCGGGCTCTGTATCCCTCTCTCCCTTCTTCTCTCAAACCATGATCTTTGAGAGAAGATCAATGCAGTCAAACCTGGAATGCTTTCTGGATTGTACGACACCCATCGTTCCATCACAATTTCTACCCAAGGTTTGTTTTATTTATCTCATCTCTTTTCTTTTCATTCTCTGCTATGGGCGAATTACTACTGGGTTTTTCTTTTTTCTTTTTCTTTAGTTCATGTGTTTTCCTCATCTTTTTGCAGACTGCTTTGATGAACCTTAATCGGCTTTGGCATCCATGGGACAGAGAAACAGTAGAGTATTTCACCTTGGGAGATCTCTGGAGTTGTTATGGTGAATGGAGTGCTTATGGTGCTGGAGTTCCGATCATATTAAAGAATGGTGAAACTGTTATTCAGTACTACGTTCCTTATCTGTCAGCAATCCAGATCTTCACAAGCCATTCATCCTTGAACAGTTTCCGGTAACATTTCAGTTTCTACAATCGTGCTTTCCTGTCTTTCCCTGTTTGCTAGAGCTTCTTCTGTGTTTGAACTATATGAACAGAAATTGATTTAGAATGTGAATTTTTTTTTCTTTGTGTGAGTTCCAAAACAAATTAAAACCATCTGGTCTGATGTTCTTGATTTTCCAGTTTGAAAAACATGTTTTTGTTTTAAATCATATAATATATCTCATCTTCTTTCATCTTTCATGGTTCATACAACATCTTTACTCCAACATTTGTTTTTGTTTTAAAAAACATCCTTTCATGATTTTTTTTTTAACAAAACCAACTTGTTTCTGTTTCCCAAAACAAAAGCACTGTTCAAGAACATGTTTTTGTTTTTTGCTGATGTGGAAATTTTAAAAACAAAAAGCATTCACGTTGTGCAACACCCCCTTAAGTTGATACTAGTTGAAGTATCGACAAAAAGAGATAGCACGGATGACCCTTAGCTACTCAAATCACGCATTCAATGTCAAGTTTTTGATCTCTTAACCTCCATTGCATTTTATTTGTGTATTGGTTTCTGATATTCCATTTAAGATCTAGTTGATGACCCTTCACCTACAAAGGTTGCTGCATTTATTCTTAAACTAGAGTGAGCTGTATGAATTGAACCAAAAGGGGTTATTTTATATAACCTTTTTAAATGGGCATGTCAAATGGGTCATGCCTTGATTGATGAACCACCTTTGATTTACATCAGTTGAAAGCAGAAGATAGTGAACAGTATAAACTGATGCAAATTATTGGTGACAGGGCTTTCAGGGAAGAGGTTGATGCAAGGGACGGTGGGATAAGAGATTCCTTGAGTGATTCCTGCAGCGAGGAGAACGAAAATGACAAGTTGTGGAGATGGGATGGTGGTTCCTCTGAGGAATGTGGGCATGATCAAGAGAACTCTTGGCATCTGAGTGATAGATTGGGCCATCTTTGCTTTGAGTATTTTGAGAGATCAGCTCCTTATGGAAGGGTACCTCTCATGGATAAGGTACAGTTATCTACTAAAGTACTAATGCTTCTCTCTCATTTATCTTATCTCAATCTCTTGCATTCACCTTTTATTTATCTTGAGCCATTAGTTTTAGAGCAAATCATCCTTGAAGTGTTCATTTTACTGTAATTAGAATGTATAAATAATCGCTCTGGTTGTAGATTTGTTAGAATCTTTTAATATCCTTTGCACCGAAAGAGCATCATAAGCATTATCTGATAAAGTTTTGACTTTTCAAAAAAGAATTCAACTTTTTTTGACTGTGCCTTTTCTGAAAATTCTTGGCTAACTTTATTCTATATTCTTTTGTTGTACTTTCTAGAATTTGGTTAGAATATGTATTCTTTCTTTTGATGCTGTCCCATTAGTATATGATGTTGTTGCTAAGTTATAATCCTGAATTCTCTGCTCTTTTCGATTGGGAATTGGCCAAAATAGTCTTAATCATCTTTGTGAAAATTTCCCTGATTGGGCCTTCTCTTCTATAGTCATCACTCATCACTGACCACCTACCTCTTTACTTTATGTTTCAGATCAATGAACTAGCTCAAAAATTTCCCAGATTAATATCACTAAGGAGTATAGATCTTTCACCAGCTAGTTGGATGGCAGTTGCTTGGTTGGTTGATATCTCTCTTTCTCTCATTTGAACATATACAAAATATTATAGTCCTACAGACCTTTGATTTATATAAGCGATGATGCACCAGTAGGAAATCTTAGCTAACCATACTTGTTTTGCATTTATTTCATTGATTGCCTATTGTATTCTCCCCTGTCAAACAACTGTTTGGCAATTGTTCCCAGCCATCCTACAGATTGAATGTGTGTGATCATCCAATCAAGCTTTCTTTACAACTTTAGGAGGTATGGGATTGATGGCATTGAATTAAACCATCAATCCTCTAATCCAGCCCACCATAAAAGTTGTAGTTGAATGTCTTTTCATTTCCCCAATCCTCTGACCTCTGCAGCTAAGCAAAGTAGTGAAAGTACTAATGACTGGATTAATTTGTTCAGGTACCCAATATATCACATTCCTACAGGGAGAACTGTAAAGGACTTGTCTGCTTGTTTTCTTACTTTCCACACGCTTTCATCTTCTTTCCAAGGTTATTTCCACTCTCTTTCCCTTAAAATTTTCTATAAGTTCTAGAGACATGTTGCATGCTAGCTAGTTCTACACCATCTGATTCTGATGTCCACGTCAATACAGAAATGGAGGCCAAAGAAGATACGGGGAGTGCTGCCCACAGGAAGCAAAAGGAAGGTGAAGAAGGTATAGTTCTCCCACCATTCGGTCTAGCTACTTATAAGATGCATGGAAGTGTGTGGATCTCAGACGAGAGTGGTCGGGACCAAGAAAGGTTGCTGTCATTGTTGAGTGCAGCAGATTCGTGGCTAAAACAGCTAAGAGTTCAACACCACGACTTCAATTACTTCACTGGGATTCGCAATCGATGACATCGCAGAACCTTTCTTTCCATTCAAATTAGGCCTAACCACCAAGTAAGGAAATATGCAATGGAAAGCCAGATCTTTCTTGGCTTTGCTTTAGTCCATGCTTGGGAGGGGCCCATGCGTGTGGATGATTTCCATTCTCATCAACTTGGAGCTTCAGTGGTGGGCTCCATCAGCCTATCTGTGGGGTGTATAATCTGTTGAGTGGGTTCTTTTTCCCTTTAAGACTTCCAAAGTTTACAGGAAATATGTTCAGAAAGCGAGACCAGAAAGGGGAGAGAGAGAGAGAGAGAGTCTTGGGCCATAAAATTTGTATGGATGATTTACTTAGTTGTTGCAGCGATGGAGCCATGGGGCATTTTATATCTTTTTCTTCCTACTTTCCCGTGTAGTTCATACAAGATGGGAATGCTATCAGGTATATCACATAATTAGTAGTGCAATTGGAATATCACGCAGGTTAGTTTCGTAGTTTTCAAATCCTTCTATTGGTTTACATTGCAAATTCAACCAAGCTGAAAAATGATGCAATGCCCGATTTCTGTAAGTGCTCAACAAAATATAATTGGTATTTTCTAGGCCGGCTGTTTCTGCATTTTGGGCATTCAAATGGTTGTGTAATATCTGTTTGAACTGCAAGTTTATTTTTCTTTCAAAAATAGTTTTGGCTAGTTTTGTTGGTGATTTACATTTTGTGCATAGGTTGATAGGTTGGTTTGCAGTTAGGGTTGCAAATAAGTCTGATCAGATCCTATTCGAATCCGAAATTGATCTAGTAAAGTTGATTCGGATACCTCCCTTTATCTGAATAAATCAGATCAGATTGGAAAAAGTCGAACTGTTTAATTAATGGATCAAATTCAGACCTCTACCCCTCTCCCCACCCCCAAAAAAGAAAATATATCAAATATCCCCAATCCAGTCTGCCACGATCCGATCCAAACCTTTAGTTATAAAATATTATGGGGGCATTCTTTTTTCAGATTTTGAGAGGGAGGAAAGTTAGTCAATGAGATTTTGTTTCCTATTGACTAAGAATCCCATGTTCTTTTTTCAGATTTATGTGGGGATTAGGGAAAGATTATTTTCCTAAGTATTACCTATATCCTAGGTGGGTAAATAACTTTCCCACTTGGGGGAAAGTTGTCAACACTTGAATGGAACAAAAATACCTTTTTTAATAATGGATTTTTATGGTTAAAATAGTCATTGCCTTATTTAAATGAGAAATAAAAAAATATGGATAAGTGTACATACCCGGGTAAGTGTTTCCTAAGAAAAACTTATTCAGGTAATTGCATTTACCTAGGTAAATAACTTACCGAAAAGAGAATGGGGCCTATATATTATTTAGGTCTATATGTTTTAAATGTAAATTCTATATATTATTTATATAATTATATATTATATATTGTAATATATAATATACTATTTATATTATATTATCAAGTTTATTTTATTATAATTCTAATTGAATCGAATATCCAATAAGATATTCAAATTCGAATTCAAATCAGACTCTTAAAAATTTGATGGATTTTTATCAAATTTGAATCGGTTGGATTTCTTAACAGATTGGATGGATATACCCTTTACCAAATCTGATCTGATCTGATCTATTTGTAGCCTTATTTGGACTCAAATCTACCACCACCTTATAGGGTGTATCCTTGATGTACTTTTCTCAAGAAAATGACTCCAAGCAATTAATTTATTTTCATTTTTTTATAATCATAAAATAGTGAAAGTTTTTTATTGTTTGTTTTTATATTCCTTATAAATTTTTATAGGTTTGTACAATCGAGAAAGTGACAGGTGGAGGAATCTATCACAATACAAGGGGATAATATAACATAAGTGGGGGTTTTGGACAATACATTCAGAAAGCTAATAAAAATTTGTGAGGAAAACAAACTATAAATTTCCCTTTTTTTTTCTTTTTTCAATAGTAGGTCTCACATTGTGCCTTCAGAAAAAGGACTCAAAATAGAAGATATAGAGTTCACATTTGTGCCCCAAAAACGCTCCACAGCACATCTGAGCATGCATTGGGAACATATTTGTCATTGGGAGATGTTCCCAATACACAGTTGGGATGTTCTGTGTGGCGTTTTTGGGGCATGCTGTGTGGGGTGCAGATGTGACTTCGAAGATATATGGGTCCTGCTGAGAATGTAACTTATTTTCAGTTTTTTTTCAACCTTCCTTTTTCACTTGTGCTCAATTTCAAAAGAGCATAAATACAAGTATATACAATGCAAAACCTTGAATACAATATTTGTATTTCTAAACCTTGTATTTGCACTGTACATATTTGTATTTGCACTCTTCTCAAATTAAGCCTTCTGAAACAAAAAAAAAAAAATATATGTTTTCAACTTCCATAATTTCAAATCAGCTCTGTAACATGCAATTTGGTTTTAGTGTTTTTTTTTCCTATTTGAATGATAATTAGTCATCCATCCCAAGGCTTTAAAACTATCATTAACCTGGACGGTCAGATCGTTCAATCCTAAAATTTATTAGGGTATCAGTTTCGTTTTCAGCTCCAATCTTTTATTTTTCCAAAATCCGTTGAGTTGGTTGGTGACTAAGTGACTCAGGCAGTTGAACGGTTAATCCATTTTACCTGGACAATGGCTTTTGGGTCTATTATTATTCTTTCAATTTAAAGCATCACGAGATGATTTTTCAGACTAGATAGCTAAACTGCTGATCCAAAATCCGGTGCCAAAGTGGTAGGGGTGTTCAAATTTGGTTGATAAACCAAAATCCGAATTGAACCAAACTGAATAAGTTAGTTCAGTTTGGTTAAATTTGGATATTGGTTTGGCTTTTGTTTTTTAAAAAACTGGTTATCGATTTTGGTTTGTTTGACTGAGATTTTCAATTGAATCAGATCAAAGATCAAATTAGTGAGAAATTAAATATTTAATATTCTATTTAATACTTTACACTAATTAATTATTATCTTTCTCAATGACCAATTTAACAATTCTTCATTCTAACTTTTAATTAATAATAATTAATTAAGACTTAGACTAATTATTAATTATTTATTAATCATTAATTGTTTGTTAATAATGGCCAATTTAGCAATTCCCCATTGGGCTTTAGGCGTATTCCAACTTTTAATTAATAATAATTAATTAAAATATACACTAATTATTAATTGTTCATTAATCATTAACTATTTATGAATAAGGGCCAATTGGGCAATTCCCTATAAGTAGAGGGCTTTAGGCCTATTCTAACTTTAATTAATTATAGTTATTTAATTAAAACTATTGGGCCTTGGGGCCATTTTAACTATAATTAATTAAAACCATTGGATTTTGTGGCCATTTTAACTTTTAATTAATAATGCTTATTAATTAATGTTTATCATTTATGTGGAATTAGGGCCCAACCGAACCGAAAATTGAACTGAATTTAGTTAGGGTTGGTTCAGTTCTAAATTCTAGTTCGGTTGGAGAAAATGGTGTTAGGTCCTTGATTCTAACCGAACCGAACCAACCGATTGTACACCCTTACAAAGTGGTTCTAGTTCTGGTTTGGTTTTTGAAACACTGATTTGTCTTTCGACTTTGTTTTGGTTTCTTCAATTGATACAACATATTATATAAGTAGAAGCTAAGAACAACGGATAAAACGTAGCCTCACAAAAGGTTCACAATGCTTGCAGTTTTTAAAAGTTTCTCTTAACTTCTTAGGCTCCATTCATTTTCCTAATTTTGAAGAGGGAAGTTGGTCAATGGGATCCCATTGAACATTGACCTAGATACCCATGTTCATTTTTCACATTCATATGGGATTCATGAAAAAATTATTTTTCATGGGTATCACTTCTCCCAAGTGGGTAAATAACTTTTCCACTTGAAAGGAAGTTGCCAACACATAGTGGGACAAAATTGCCCCTTTTAATAATGACCTTCTATTGTTAAAATAGTTATTGTCTTATTTACCTGTAAAACAAAAGAACATGGGTAAATGCATTTACCCAAGTAAATGACCAAATAAAATAAATAAATTTCACAAGATCTTGATTGGTGATCTTTAAAAGTAAAATGAAAATATGGACAACTTTTTTTTTTCACAATTGGGTAAAATACAAAAACCTCCCTTGACTTTTTTGACAATCATAAAAGCATCCCCTATAATTTCATTGTAACAAATACCTCCCTTGAACTTCTAAGAAACTTGACAAAAACCTCCATTCTGTCATTGGCCCAGACAGAAAACGTTAGTTGATGCATCAATCTTTTAAATACCAATTTTACCCTTCTATCACTGACCAAATGGAAAATGTCATTGACCACCCGCGTGGCGATACTAATGCCATCTCTTCTGTTGAGATCAAGGTAGGTCTTTGTGTTATTCCTTCTCATTGACTAAGTCGGATCTAAACCCAGTGTTTCTTCCTCGTGTGACTAACTGGAAAACCCAACCACTTCCTCATCGAAGCCAAAAAAGAAGAAGCTCTCACAAGCCATTTCTCCACCATTATAGACGCCATCAATGACTGCAAGCTTCCTCTTAAACTGTGGCTGGGAGAACAAAATCTACATCCTCATTTCCTTTGCCACGTCCATACTACCCTACTTCTTTTTGGACTTGTTTTGTACTCTTGGGGTTAAGTAAACACGGGAACTGATGTCTCACCCAATGTCTAATTAGTTGAATCCATACTCATCCACACTTGATTACAAGAACATTGAGGAAGGAGAGAAATACGTGGAGATTCCTCCGTATGTATTCATCTGAGGTCATGCCTGCCATAAATAGTTTCTTTTCTTCTACAAACTCTAAGGCCCCGTTCATTTTTTGGTAAGTTATTTACCCGGGTAAATGCAGTTACCTGGGTATGTTTTTCCTAGGAAACACTTACCTGGGTAAGTGCATTTACCCATGTTCTTTTATTTTTCATGTAAATAAGGCAATGACCATTTTAGCCATACAAATCCATTATTAAAAAGGGCTTTTTTGTCTCATTCAAGTGTTGGCAACTTTTCCCCTAGATGGGAAAGTTATTTACCCACATAGGAGATGGACATCACTTACCCGGGTAAGTGATACCTGAAGGGATGAGAGATCCATCATATGGATGGCCGAACCCTGTAGGTAGGTTGGGAAAAATTTCAAAATTTTCTCTCTCCCCATCTGGGAATCACATTCCTTGTTTTAGAAAATCTGCATTTTCAAGGATCAATCTTGAACCAAGAACCGAACCAGATCTGAAACCAAAAGGTAGGAGAGGATATACCTGATACAGGGTAGCAGTAACTCCCAATGAAAGTGTTCACGTCCAAAAAAATCTCCAAAGACTGCTCCCACTGAAGATGACACAGTGTAGGGTGGAGCAGAATC